CACATGCCTCGCAATCAGAGACAGACTTCAGTATGACTGACAATGATGAACTCAATATTTTCGAGCAATCAACAGGACATGTGGGGGGGCATTCATTACCTGAGGAGGACATAGAATCTAATGATTTTGAAGATCAAGATGCTGATAGTTTGGCTGATATGATTGCTTTAAGGGAGTCTATCACAGATGCTATTTGTGGCTATTGATCAACCAAGTTTTCTTTTCATAAGATTTTAGGTTTATATTCATACCCATTTAATTATGTTTTTTTTTTTAAATACCTTAAGCTGACATTTCATTCTTTTGTTATTTTCACAGTTATACCAACATGACCTCCAGAATATCAAGTACAGACAGAGGGATTTTGTGTTATTGTGGACTACCGTCTCCGTTGCTAACGTCACGTAAGGAGCATAGCTTTGGGAGGCAGTTCTATGGTTGTGCCAGGGGTGTTTCAGCCCGTTGTGGTTTCTTCAGGTGGGCCGATAGTCCATCATATTACACTGACAGTAGTCATGCCAGCAGTCATGTGAATCCGATGTTTTCTCCGACTGACAGTGCAGATGAGGACAGGCGTAGCCAGAGTCTTAAGTTGAATATTTTAATATTTCTCCTTGTTGTTGTACTTGTATTTGTCTTTTTTTTTAGTTCTCCTGGTACTCATTAAGGTGTGAGAATTGTATGGTATCTTTTAGAACTGATCTGTGATTATCATATGTTTCTGCACCATGTTTTTTTCTATCAATAAGCTATTCTGAATAAGCTGCCCCAAACAGTTTAATCAGACATGGGCATGAATGTCATTTAACTACTAATAAGCTAGTCTGAATAAGCTGCCCGAAAAAACTAGCCAAATTATTCTGATAATCTGTAAATTATCAGATTATCAGAATAATCTGATTATAAATAATCCACAGCTGTGCCAAACAGTGCCTAAATTCAGTTAAAATTATTAATAAACAAACATCAAGATTTGCGTCATCTCGTTTATCCAATTAGCACGGTCCAATGATTTCTGGAAATGGGATTCCTAACAGCTTCCATTCTTAGACAGAGCATCATGCATCAATGATAGAGAACAAATTTAACTAATTAACCAAGATGAGTTTTCTAATCATTATATTATTTATTCTTAGATGAGCATAATATAAATTTTGATTGGTTATTCGTATATTATACTCATTGCAAAGTAAATTTTTCTCAATCAAATTCGGGTTAGAATATTTTGATTCAAAAAATTTCAAAAATTAGCCTGCACTCTCTTATTTCTCTAAAATATGAGAGTAGAAGGATGTCATTTTCTTAGATCTATATTGAGGTGATTTTGTGGAATTTTGCTATGGCGACAACAGTCTTCTTAAGGATAAAATATTGCATAGGAGTCTGGACTCACTTTAATAAAATTTTGTCACGTGTCATCATGTTGAAACCGTGGTCCCACTGAATTAAAAATAAAAATGCTCTTTATTTTAATGCATGACCCGGTCCAAACTAGCCCATTGCTTCGAAAAGAAAAAACTTTCCCTTCTTGAGAGAAAAGTTTGTCCTATGATTTTTCTTCTTTATTATTTTCTATTTAAAGTTTGAAGTCTTGAGCTGTTAGAAGAAATTAATGGAAATGTTCTTTTCATCATACATGTACAACGCATGTTCAACAGCAGATAATCTTTCATAAAAAAGGATTCATCAATATTCTATTTTTAATCATCTCCATAATATACATGATTATGCCACATGGGATGTGGTGAAAGCATATATTTTGGCAAAGCAGGGAACCGAAATCCAATAGCAAACTATGACAACTTTGCAAATCCTGAAAGACAACCGACTTGATTAAACTAGAAAGATTTATAGATTGAACTTGATAGCTACAAATGCAGAAACGGGGCACCAAATCTCTATTATGCGGACAATACCATTATCCTTCGATAATCGTTGGTTTCTTATAGGTGTACCATTTTGCAATCAGAAGATACACCAGAAAGTTCACCAGGCTGAGAATGGCAAGAAGCCAGTAGAAGTAATCCAAGTGACCCCTGTTGAGATTATCTGCTATCCATCCAAGCTGCCCATTTCTTGTTGTTATCTTAGTGACAATGGTGACAAGAAATGTGCTCAGGTAGTTTCCCAATGCAATGGTGGTCAGCGAAAGTGCTGAGCACATGCTCCTCATTGCATCTGGCGCTTGGTCATAGAAAAATTCTAACTGACCAATGAACGTGAAGACCTCTGCCGCACCAACGATGAAGTACTGAGGCACCTGCCACAATATTGACAAGGGCAAGTAGCCTTCATGATCATAAAGATTGAGTCTTGCCACCATCTGAAGCCTGATGACCTCCAATACGCCTGCAGCCACCATGGCGAAGATGGAGATGATGAGGCCAATGCCCATGCGAGTGAGCTGTGTGAAGCCACGGTCATTTCCGGTGATTCTTCGAGCAACCGGAACGATTATGCGATCGTAGATTGGCACCCAAATGATGACACTGATGGTGTCAAAGACGGTGAGGGAAGCTGCAGGGATTTTAAAGTTGGGACCAAGATGGGGGTCCATGGTGTCTCCTTGAAGGACAAACATGGTACTCATCTGGCCATATACCGTTGAGAAGATGATGCCGCTTGCCCAGATGGGCAGTAGGCGTATGAGGCTTTTGAGCTCTTCTACTTGAGTGACAGTGCAGAGCTTCCATGAATCTTCAGAGCTTACGATGTTGTCATCTTGAGTTTGCACAGCTGCTTTATCAAAAAACCTGGATGGATTTATATTTTCATTGGTAAGATTACTAATAGTAACTCACACTACTTGGTTTCATGTTACAAGCTCATTTTGTTGTCAATATTGATTTTAATTCATATTTAGATCATAAAATATTTTTTAGAACATACAACAGTTGCTCTTCCATGTTTTCGTATTAGCAAAACAAAAAACTTTTGAGGTAGAAGTATACTATATACTGAGAGTTCTATTTATAGCAGAATGTTTAGAATTTATAATAATCACATATGATGTATTGTTCATATTTTTTTGCTTTAGGCATTAAACGGTAAGACAACCCATGGAATGTTCATCAGTCAAATTTCAACGAAAGCAAATGAAGTTAATTACTAATTTTCTTCTACAGACTGAGCTGAATGATGATCTTTTAGTTTTAAGGTGAGCTTACTTGAATTGCTCGGTGTGTTCGAGCTTGCGGCTTCCTTCTATAGCAGATTCTTTGTCTGAAACTTCATACAATAGAGACTTGTCATTAGGCACATTCGCTCCAGATTTCCTCAATGAAGCAACAAAAACCTGAGCTATTCTTGTGAAAGGACTGCCTCCAGGTTTCTGGTGCCTATATAATGGTGTACCCAAGAGGAAGCTCACAACAGCAATGGCCATTGCTACTGTTGGAACACCGAAACCCCAACCCCACCCCACATTAGTCTGTATCCATACCAGGACTGACGAAGCAATCAATGCACCGATATTGATCGAAAAGTAGAACCAATTAAAGAAAGAGGTCTTCCTCTTCTTCTCAGATTCATCTGAATCATCAAATTGGTCAGCACCAAATGAGGACACACATGGCTTAATTCCCCCAGTTCCCAGAGCAATGAGATACAGTGCTAAGAATACAACTGCAGACTGTGCTGATGTGGTTTTGCAGACTTCATCATGGCAAACAGGCATTAACCCTTTCACTGATGCAGCAATTGTAAGCAGCGATAGACCCTATAGAAAGTCATCAGAATAAGGATATCTTCTTCTTGAGATTTATGGTTGAATATATAACTGAGAACCAAAAGACTATTGGAAGGGACTTACAATAATGTAAATTATCATGAAAGTAGCAATGGTCCAATATCTTCCAATGTATGCATCAGCTAAAAATGCTCCTAGGAGTGGTGTGGCATAGCAAGTTCCAGACCAGTTGGAGACATTGTTAGCTGCTACAGCGTTTGTTTGGTTGAGTCTGTCCTTCATGAAGTTCACTAGATTGCTGCTCATTCCATAGTATGCCAACCTTTCACAACATTCATTTGCTGAACATATATGTGTTGGGAATTAGGCCACATTTAATTCAAATCATCAAGAGCAATTAAAATAGCGAGAAGATCAGCACACAAAAACACAGCAGGTATCACAAAAATTTACTCGATGACTATGTCATGTTATTGCCATTGTAGATTTCATTATGAAGATATAATTTTACAGTTCTAACCACAATCCCGTTCTCTTCAGCATTTCTTCTAAAGAAAAAAAAATGATGGACAAAGAAATTCTGCAAATTCTCGAAACATCGTTAATGAAGCAATTCCCAATTACTACATAGTTTTTGCATAAGACATTTCTTCGCAAGTCATTAGTTTAGGGTTTGTTTGAGATCACTTTTATCTTTTATTTTTTTTAATATTTTTTTTTAGTTCAAAAATATGTTTGTTTTGTGAATTTTTTCATAGGTTTATCTTTTTTAAACAAATTAATTTGTTTTTAAAAACACTCACAACACCTATAATTTTTTTTAATATTTTTAAACACACTATGTTATAATATCTCAAACATATTTCATTTTAGATAAAAATATAGACAGAACAAAACAAAAACAATAAAATTGAAAACAAAAACCAAAGAAAAAAAAAAGAAGAAGAAGATCTGAAACAGCCCTAAGCTTTCTTTTGACACTAAAGTTTTTTGAAAAGTTTTAAAACGTGCATGTAGGAAGAGCTAAAGAAATATTACCAAGAATGTATGGGCAAGCTCTCCAATTGCCAGTTTCCTTCTTGATGGCTGGGTTTCCTTTGAGATCTGTAGTTCCATCTTTTGTATGCTTATCCTCAATTACCTCCATCAATGCTCGAGAGGGAAGATAATGCCAAGTCTCTTATATCAACAAACAAAAATTTTAAAGATGAAAAGAAGTTGATTCCAATTATAATAAATTATTAGGATTTTAAATGAGATAATATCCAAGATTTAACGTAGGCAAAGGTGTTTGGATTCACATAATTCTAGAAAAAAAATAATGATAAAATTTTATAGATACATTAATTTTTCTGAAACCTGAAGGGATGTATGGCTGCACCGAAGATTTAAGTTAAAAATGATTAAGTAAATCCTATTAATCCAGATTATCAAATCTAGATGGGTTAAAATCCACAAAGATGCTTGATATGATTTTAGTTAAATTCAGTTAAGTCTCTTCTTAATGTTTGGCGATCACCTCCTCCTTCTATGAGATGAGAGAAGTCCTTCTCCTTAAATCTGTTAAATCCACCTATTCATTGAATTAAAAAAAACCGGGATTTACATTGTGGAGAATAAGATAATGGATTTAGCGGAGTTTCGGATTTAACTTGCTGTTTTTTGTGTGATTTATGTTAAATCTAAACTTAAATTCTGTTAAGATGTTGTTTGGCTACAATTTGGATTAATGTTAAATTGGTTTATCAAATCCAATAAATCCTTTTACAGAGATGAAGCTTGTCGACGGCGAAACAAATCCTTTAAATCCAACTCGTATTCGGATTTATTAAATCGGGATTTACGTCATAATGGAGGGGGAATGCGGGAGAAAAGTGACGAAAGGCGAAAAATTAGATAAAAGTGTGCCACCAAACACCCCCTAATGGGGATGACAGCCCCAGCTCCCATTGTACCCAAAAAAAAAAGAAAAGAAAAAAAAAGAGAAGATAGACTAATAAAGAAGATGAATAAAAGAGTTACTTACAGAAGATTTCTTTTCGATGTAAAAACCTTTTTTTTTTCTTTTTCCGAGGGGAATTTCAACCTTGGCCTGCCACGGGAAAAGTCGTCTGATTAGGGTTGCAAAGGAGAAGCACATAACTGCATGTATTTATATAGAATTAATGTTGTTATTTTGATGGTGAAAGGTGACAAAAATAGAAACTAACAACCCTTGCAAGAACAGAATCCGTTTTTTTAAAGGCAGAATCAAAGACAGATTCTTCGAATCAGGAAATGATTCACGATTGAGCAACACCTTCCTCCCTTAATGTAGACGGATTCACATCCTTTTCATTTACTTTCTTTAGCATTTAACTGCCAGCCAAAGCAAATGTTATAACAAGAAAATACATCTGGACAGCCAAATATCATGCAAACTCGGCCAGTGTCGGCTCCATATGCTTTTATTAGATTAAGCTTCTTGGATTCAAATTTGTTTACTAATACAAACTAATGACCAAACTTACTTCCTTACTTTTTGCTCTTCCCCTAAGGCCCTAACCCATTATTTGTAGGTTTGCATTGGAATTCAATCCTATATTAATAACTATAGGCTTGAAGAAAAAATATTTTTTTAAAGAATAAGGTTAACTACATGTGCTAAAGTCGCTAGCTGTGTAAATAACCTGTCATTAATAAGTAAATATAAAGTAATTTTGATTTTAATCAGCTTTGCTTATGGATAATGGTCATGTTTCTCGACTTTATATATTCTGTGAATGAATTAACCCAACATGGTTTGACTTAATTATCAATATCTATAACTTGCTTCTTCAGTGTTTGGACAATGCAACTCGAAAAGAGGCATTCCATCAGGATCAAACCCAACTTGGTTTTGACTTAGTGATCGATATCTATAACATTCTTCTTCAATGTTTGGGCGATGTAACTCTAAAAGAGGTATTCCTTCAGGATTTATGATTTTAAAAAGCCAGTCAACAAGTTGGTTTTAGTCATTTGAGACATGATCTATTTTGAAATATTCAATTTTCCTAATTTTAGTTTTAATGTTGAAAATAAATTTTCTGTAATAAATATTTTATTGCTTCTTATTGTTATGTGTGAAGCTTGATTGGTGATGAGAAACAAATAGCCTAGCGCCTGGTAGCGGGCAACCCAGAGCCAGAGTAGGCGGCTCAATGCCAGTGAGGTGTATAGGTGCCAAACGAAAGGTTCAGGCGGAATCTTGTCGACAGTAAGGGTGCTCAAGCACTTAGAAGACTCGTTTCCAACATTCTAGAACATATCACCCTGAGGTGGCGACCAGGCACATGCAATCGGTTTTTGCAGTTCGAGACTTTAAGTTTCGTGTTTCTACACAGCAGGAGGTGCGTGCAAATTGTGTGAAGCGGTGCTATGAGTTGGTGTTGGATTTTTGTGAGTTCTTTCGTGTGAATGTTAAATGAGAGTGTTTGTGTGTTCCAAGAGAGTAGAGACATGAGTTTGTAATGTGTATAATTTCTTCTTATTTCATAGTGAATTTCTTGGTGTGACGTGGCTCCATGGTTTTTTCTCATCTTGGATTTTTTCACTTTAAATCTTGGTGTTCGTTGTGTTTTCTTTACATGCAATTACTTATTTGTGTGCTTTTGTTCAAACATTTTATTTCAAACCTCTCAAATGAGCGTTCCTTATCTTTCTTAACCCACCAAGTGGTATTAAAGCGAGTTTTCTAAAGATCTTTGATTCGAGTGGGAGCAATGACCTGCGGAGTAATGTACGTGGTTGAGGAGTTCAACTGTGAGAACTTCGCATTCTAAAAAATGCAAATTGAAGATTTAATGTATATAAAAAAAATTGTATTTGCTATTGGAAGTAATTACCAAGAAGCCTGAATGGATGACTTTAAAAAGAATGAGAAGTATTCGATCAAACAACTCTAGGTTTGATCGAATTCTCACTTTCTTTATTTATTTCTTTTAATATTACTAACGAGAAAACAACTAAAGATCTCATGACTACACTAATGCGAATGTATGAGAGGCCCTAAACTTCAAACTATAATTTTTTTGATGAAAATATTGTTTAATATGAAGATAATGGATGGTAGTTCGGTGGTTGAACATTTAAATAATTTCAACAGCATAAGAAATAAATTGTGTTATATGGGCATTAAGTTTGATGATGATACCAAAACACTATTAATTTTATCTTTTTTGTCAAATAGTTGGGATGGACTAGTAATTGCGATGAGCAACTCTTCGGGTAACATGAAGTTAAACTGTAATGACAATGTGATGTTAGTGTTGGATGAAAAGTTCGCTAGAAGGCTAGCGATGAAACTTCAAATTTTGCACTGAATATTGAAAATAGATGAATGAATATGGATAGAAACACAGACAAAGAAAGAATCAAATCTGAGTAATGGTTGATAGTTGTTGACCTCACTGTTGGTTGAGCTCTAGCTTTTCCTCCTTAGTAGCAGCCTGGGGTCTAGCCATAGGACTTTCCTGTTGACTATTCCTAAAGAACTAGAAAAGGAACCATCAACATTAGAAATTCTACACTCTTTTCTGCTCAACTTAAGCTCCACATATTGGTTCTAACCTCTAGCACTTAGTAGGTGGGGTCAATATGGTGGAGCTCAAGGAGAGTTCACATAGGATGGTCAAGCCTTAGGATTAACCTGGGGTGATCTGGTCTTTGTTAGGCTAGCTTGCACATACTACACTTTCTCATACACCCCAAACCCTAAGACCCTTTGATTTGGTCTCCTGACTCATTTTAGAAAACTCATGTGGGTGGATCTATACCCCTAGTCTTTGGCTAAGAGGGTTAGGACCAGCATATTGAACATCCAAAATAAATCTTCATATTGTTCCTATTGGTTTGGCATGACTTCATGGCTTACTTGCTCAGTTTAGCCCAAGATCACCAAATTACCAAAATACCCATACAACCCTAATTTTTGCCAAAAATCTCAAAATTACCCAAAATACCCAAATTTATCTAAAAGTCATTTCAAATCACTTACCACTACCTAAATTGACCAAAATTCACCAAAATCCCCAAAATACTCCAAAAATTGTCAAAATTACCAAAATATCCCTCATGACCCAAAAATTTCAAAATCATCCCAAATGTTCCCAATTTCAATTTTTAACCATTACATTGACCCAATTTGACCAAAAGCCCCAAATTGTTCTTAAAGGCCCAACTTCCCCAAATTAGCCACAATCTTGACCCAATTGATCCCAATATTGCCCAATTTCAATTCTAAACCAAACTTCAACATTCCTAATACCAATTGAAACCGAATATAAACCCAATTTGACCCAATTATAAGCTCAATTTCACCCAAATCAAAAAGCCCCAATTTTGACCATAGGTCCAAATTCCTTAAATTGGCTTTCTAATTCAATTCAAAATCACCTAAAATCATTTCCAAAATCTTCATGACATCTTCCTATACCAAATTAAACATTAGGTTGGCCCAAAATTTAATTCAATTCAACCCAAACTCAAGCCCACCATACCATTTCAAAAAGCCCATCAAAACTAAACACGACTTTTAATTCCTTGAAATCAAAAGCCCACATGACAAAATCATTTCATCATCCAATTAAATTAAACCCTACACCATGATATTTGAAACTTTAGCCTCTTCCACATTTGGAATCATGACAACACCATTTAAAAATTACCCAAAATTCAAAAAATCCTTTTCATGCAAAATCACCAAGCCAAAGGGAAGCCATGAAGCCATTCTCAAGCCATGGGTGAGCCATGTAAGCTTTGCCACCTCACCAAGCTATTAATGGCAAGAGGACAAACCACTTTCAAGCCTCCTTAAAAAGGTTTTAACCCTTTTAATGAAACACTTAAATCTATGCTTAGCCAAAATCCTTTGGATGAAGACCTCTCCACATCATTTCAACTGGCTCACCTAGTCTTGATCAACCATGGGGAGTCACCCAAGCTTAGCCCAACCTAGCTCAAAGCACCTTCCATTTAAATTAATAACCTTTACACATGTCAACCTAAAATTGATTGCACCATGACTTAACCCTGACCTCTCTTAGCCATATGGTGACCCCTCCCTGACCGACCGACCACCTTGGCTGCCGAAAAATTCAAATCAAAGAACCCCACCTAAGCCAAAACTCAAAATTAAACCCAACCAAGCTAGATTATTCCAATTGGATTGTTGCTTTTTTCTTACCACCACCGAAGCAACTCATGGCACCCACTGGCCAACCATGGTGGCTTTTCCTTCCCCCTCTATTTAAACTCACCCTCCACGGCCAAGGGGGGAGAGCTTGAAATTCCTTGGGTAGACTCTGTCAAATTGTTCCTAGAGCTTTTTCAAGACTCATTGAGTTCAATCCAACCATCCTCAAGCCCTCAAACCCACTGCCTGAGCTTAATTTTGGAGCTCAAAATCAAGTCTGAAACAGGACATCCCTCTAGACTCCACGAAAGTTAAATTAATTACACCCACACCATCCCCTGAGTAAGAGAAGAATATCCCCATAAAATCCCCATCACCAGACTACCCTAAGGTAGATTTTGATCAACACCCTTAATCGACCTTGGTCGAAATCACACCTAGGCATTTCACCATGACTTAAGGCTTCATCTAGGAGTTCTATGGACTCAACTCAAGCTTTTGGAAGCACCCAATCGAGGCCACACCTCTTGGGCAAAAGTATTGAACTCTCCCCTTAAACCAAGCTTATTTTAATTATCCATGTTTATAGACTTGATTTAAGGCTTGATTAACCGTATGGATATGTTCTCCTGATCAAGACGAGTCAATAGGAACAAACCTCACTTAATTTGGTTGAGTACAGAGAGAGATATTAAGGTTTGAGGTTGGACGGTTCTCGGACTAGAGATTTGAGGACGATGAACGGATGTCATCCATTTCCGTGTGTATTGGATGGACGGATGAGATCGAGCAGGACAGAGCATAGATACATAAACAACGGGTCGAGTTAGCGCTGACTCGGATGGCGACGCCGAACCAGGAGACGTCGCGTGGAGGTTTTGGAGACATCAAGGATTGTGTGGTGTCTCGTGGTTTAAATAGAAAAATATGGATTTTCTTTATTTACTTAATGGTCAGAACTTTTAAAAATCTATATCTTTGTGTAGAAAATCACAAAAATAAAATAAAAATACTCTTTTGCTCAGTGAACAGAGGAGAACAATATAGAAATAGTTTCATATCTGTTTGATGCATGTATTATTTTTAATTAATCAAACAGTGTTTTTCTTATTTGCATAGACTTTTCACCATGGCATGAGACCATTGGGCTTTTGATGTCTTTGTTGTTGGACATCTCCTCTGATTTTTCCAAGGTCATGGGGCATCTCTTAGCGGAGATCTCTAATTTTCAAGTTAATGACCCCTATTTTGGTATAAAAACTATAATAATTAAAATATTGATTAGAAAAATAAAAACTTGTTTTAGGCTTAAAATGAATTTTCTTTAATTTTCCATTTAAATAATTCTAATAATTAAAATATAAACCACAAAAATATGAAATTTGTTTCTTTAGGTTTCTTGAATTTAGAGAGATTTAAGAAAAAATATAAAACTTAATTTTCCCCTTAAATAATATTTTATTTTTAATTAATACTCAAAACAAACAAATAATTCTAAGAATTATATTAAACCTCTAAAAATCATGAAAATTGGTCCAAGTGGTCATCTGACCTAGGTGAACCTCCAATAATTTTCTTAAGGACAGGAGTTTTGTTATGGTTGAGTTATTAAATTTTCATTGAAATTTCTATCTTCGCATTAAAATAATTATAAAATTAAGTAAATTCAGAAAATTCACAATTTCTCCTTTGATATTTTAATTAACCCATTAGCAGGGTAACATAAAATTTTCAAATCATTTGAGCTTGATTTAATGGATTATGAGGTGTTAAGGCCCTAAAGTGCAAAATGATAATTTTGGAATTTGGGCTTTAATTAATATTTAAGTTTAACCAAAGGGCTAAATGGATAATAAATGATCTTGATTGACATGTCTTGATGATTGAAATATGAAAGAGATAAATGGTAGCAACTAATCTCACTTGGGTTTCATTAAAGATAATTTTGTAATTTGGAAGAATAAATAAGTGAGAAGATATTAAGGTGAGGGGTTTGGCTTTGGAAGATCATAACCCGCTAATTCAAAATCCCAATCAATGGTTTTAAAATAAATTATGACACATGATGAGGATTAAAAATATAAATGTTTAAATTTTTCTAAAAATTACAAATCTACCCATTAAGTTTTAAGGGACTTGGTAGTAAACTAAGCTTAATTAAAATTTTGTCTAATGAGGTTTAGAAGATAACCTATGATTAATTTGAAACTTTTAAAAAACACTACAAGTCCATCTTTAAAAGATCAAATGACTAAGTTCCTTAATTAAACCAAATTGCCCCTAGGGGCCTTACCCATATAATTCGTAAGTTAAATATTAAGTGATAATTACCCCACTTAAAGGGATAATCAAAACATCAAAGTTTATTGAGCATAAATGTATGAACCAGATGAACTATATAGCAAACATAATAAGACCAAAACGAACTCGAGACGATTCAAGGGACTGTGAAATGTCTAGGGTATTACCCAGCACTCTTCATGATCCTTTGGGAATCTCGGAGGACACTTGGACTTATTATGATTTGCTTAATGAAATCATCTTTACAAATGAATAAATTAGACCCACCAAGATACGACATAGGATATGGCATATATATGTCTTGCAAATACTGACATTTTAGGTAGAGGAACGAGAAGAATCGACATATATACTTTTAAGTTATTGCATCACAATTTATTTTTATTTATTTGCACCTCTTGTCCCCTGCTTACAAACTTGCATGTTAAACAACAAAGTCACCATGTAGGTCAAAACCAAAACTTTTAAGATAACCGCAAAACTAAAACCAAAATAAAATTAAGAATCAAAACAAGATAAAATACACCGCCACAACAGTCAAAATATATGACAACTCATGATTTACAAATAAGACAAAAAAAAAATTGCAACTAACTTAAAACGTCTTTATCGGATGATCGGGAATACCTCAGAGGAGATAACTTACGACTGCTAATGAGATTTCTCACAATATAAATGAAAGTACGGAACTCATTAAGTTGAGTTTAGTAAATTCATTTAGACTAAGTAAATCCGAAGAAAAATAGTGGTGTCAGAACTAGGGAACCGTAGAATCCTAACCGGTATCGCTTTAATCAACTTTAATATCCCCCATATATTTAAATAAACATAATCTTATAAAATATTTGATTTGACACCAAGACTCGACACATTAGAAAACTTAAACTTGCTACGGCGACGAGCTTGAAGCTAGCATTGTGGGCAGCACGACCGTCTTCAATAGCAGCTAAACATGTCTAAATCAGCTAAACCTTTCCTTAGAATTAAACAACAAGTCATATGATTTCGAGGTTGTCCGCTTAGTGCAACATAAATCCTCAACTTATCTTTAGGTCATTCTATGATTCGGTTATACAATAGAAGCCCTAACTCATTTTAGGATTCGGAGGTTGTCGTTCGTCACGATCTAAATTCTCAAATCTTCCAGGCTATTTGTGTAATCGTTTCATACGAATGTAAACCCTAATTAATAAAATTCGCAGGATGAACCATTTAAAATTTTTCTCCTCTAAATTGAAGTCAAACAATATGATAGTTTGGGAAGGCACCGAGGTTCTCCACAGGATCTATGACATCCCATAGTTCTTTTTTCTTTGGATTCTAAAATTAAATGTTTCAAATTTGAGCAATTCCATTTTCACACATATTTGTCTAATCTCTTGAAAAGTCCTATCATTTGAAATTCTTGAAGACAATATCCCCTGATTTTTATCGAGAGTTAGGTAACTTCGGTTATCTAATATGTAATTAACTATAAGGTCTTGCATTAACTATAGGGGATTGCCCTTATAGGAAGCTTTTCCGAACCCAGCTTAGTATAAACCCTATTTAATTCTTCATATTAAATAAGGGAACTTGTCGGTCAACATAAAATGGTTTCGCATACCAATCGAATGTCATGCATTTCTTAGTTTATTTGATTGAGCCTCACTATCAAGTTCTATGTCTATCTTTCAAGGTAGATATATAACTTGAGGTGTAGTGCTCTTTTATCTAAACTTTGAAAGATATGAGATCGATTTGATTTCATATTTTTCTAAACTAAATAAATAAATAAATAAATTAAATGCATTTCCAAAGCGAGCGTCAAAATTTCAATTCCGGCGGCCGACAGCTCCACAGGAAACTCCTAAAATTGTGCTGACAATAACTAATGTATGAATTTATGTTAGCATGCCTCATATTGCAACATATTAATCTTAGCATATAAGTGCAATGTTACTGTCAATCATTCTCGTGTTTATAAGTATAATTATACACTATACAGTTCGAACCTCTGACACAAGATGACAAGTGCAACACTAAAAATTCCAACAAATTTAGAAGATAAACATTTATAACTCATCAAATATTCTTATTAACCAATTTTTATATAGAACTAAAAAATATCCTCATAACTTCAAAGTGAAAAGAACAAATTAAGAGTTATGAAATATTTTATTTTAAAATTAAATAATAATTTCTTGACTAAGAATTTTTTTTAAAGATATTGTAAATACTTTGAAAAAATGAATTTAGCTATCTCAGAAAACTTTTTTTTTTATATATAATGAGAAGATAATGATATTGGAAAATGATTTTTGGTTATCTTGCAAACCCTTTTGATTCTCTTAAGAAAATGATTAATTATGTGGAAACAAAACCTACCAAATAAATCACTGTTTAATCTTCCTCATACTTGATTGAAAGAAAAATCACACTAATTATCACTGTTTAATGTTCCTCATACTTGAATGAAAGAGAAATCATAGTAAATATCTCTTAACTTCTATGTTTAAATCCTAACAATTCATAAAATTTTTTGAATAGTTTAGTAATAACTTATTCAAAATGATTTTTTGTAATCAATTAGATGGACACTATTGATGAACTACGAATTTTTCTCTTATTAAATGAGACAACTCAAGGAGTTTTTTTTATCGAGAATATAATTTTTTAAAATATTTTATACTACTTGGTTACTTAATAAAAATATCATATTTATCATTAAAATTCCCTCTATTATATTTTATTTGAGTTTTAAAGTTTTAATATAATAATTTTAATATTAAAAAAAAATTATATATCAACCATCTAAAATATTGATCATAGCATGTTAATTACTTAAATTTTAAATATAATATTTTAATCACTTGTTTCATTATAATCATCATCCTTGGGTGAAAGTTTTTTTTTAATATTTTCTTTAACATTTTAAGTGGTTAAAATATTACATTTAATATTTTGGCATTCTTTAAAAAAAAAAAAAAAGGACATTTTATTGGAGAGATACTCGGCGCTCTTGACGCTTCCCAAAGATCTAACCAAAACCTAGACAAAGTTCAACCCTGCAATATCTGCTGCCTCTGCAAATTTTTTCTCTAATATTTTGTAATTTTGCTCCATTTCTCGTGCAATTGTTTCTTCTGCGGCGGATCATCTGATTTTTGACCTTATAAATATAGTAAATGTTCTGCTCAGGTTTGCTTTCAGCATCACTTTCGCTTCCTCTCCTCTTCTTCTTCTTGCTCGGGGCTTCTCCGAGTCGGAGGCTGCTAGAAATCATGCTCGTAGACTTTGTTCGGCACGCTTTTCCAGATCTGATTGCCTTGCCGGTGCTTTAGGTGAGGATTTTTATTTCTTGGGGCCTTATACCTGTTCCAAGCTCTCTGCGACTATTTGTTCTCGATTATTGGTTCAGTTTCTCTAATGCTTATATGCTCAGGCCTTTGCTCGCTTTATCTAATTTCTGAAGAGTGGAGAGAAACTTCATTCTTACTTGCGTGGCGCCTGTAACATTCTATGGCCACTGTCTATTTCCATGCCGGCTTGCGTATCAAATATGCTGAATTCGGCAACCGGGACATCTTTTGCCCGTGCCGATACAGCTACTTCTCAAGGGAAGCTGTTTGGCTTGGTCGAACTCCCCAAACCTTCTCTTCTACCCCGACATCACATAAAATCAAGATTTTGAAGGAGGGCTTTGATGCTTGGGGCGCCCATTTGAAATATCGGCGTTGCGTTGAGAAAACGAAGATCAGGGCGAACAACTCTTCTGAGAAGGATTCGGAATCCAAAGTTAGCACTAGTGACAGTAGCAACGATGCCTCGTCAAACAATAGCAAAGGCATCAATACCCCGTCGAATCCTTCCTCCCAATCTTCTTCATCTCCTTCCCCCAAAAGGGAGAAGAAGTGGAAGGGCAGTTGGTGGAATGGAGGTAAATGGCAATGGCAGCCGATAATCCAGGCTCAGGAGATTGGAGTTCTTCTTCTTCAGCTTGGGATTGTGATGTTTGCTATGCGACTACTTCGACCTGGAATTCCTCTGCCTGGTTCTGAACCTAGGCCCCCACCAACCTACATTAGCGTGCCTTTTAGCGATTTCATGAGCAAGATTAACAATGATCAGGTGCTAAAAGTGGAGGTTGATGGTGTTCATATCATGTTCAGACTGAGGTCAGAGACTGGAAGTGCAGAGGCTGATCAAAGTGCTGTCAGCCGGTCTCTGGAGGCTGAGGCATTGATAAAATCTGTGGCCCCAACAAAGAGAATTGTCTACACAACAACACGGCCTGCTGATATAAAGACACCATATGAGAAGATGCTCGAAAATCAGGTTGAATTTGGTTCACCAGATAAGCGATCTGGTGGCTTATTGAACTCAGCATTGGTATGATTTCTCTGCTTTTCTGGCTATATTAATGCAGAAGATAGTTCATTTAACATTTAATGTGAATATTCAGTATTGCAATAGGCAGTCTTCTTAAAACTGAGCATCATATGTTTCTTACCCTCTGTGAAGTTTGATTTCTAGAACATGTGTGGGTGCATTATTCTGTTGTTTGCAATATACTCATTTACTTGCTTAAAAAGTTTTATTTGGAAATCAGCATTTCCGAAAGAACTTGGAAATCTTAAATGGGTTAGATCATATATTAGAAAATGAGAAACTTTTATATCAACATATTGTTTGTCAAACTGAACCCATTACTTTCTTCATTTTGAAACTAAAATTCCATATTAGACATTTAAATAGTTTGGAACCAGGAATATGATACGCATTCGTTTACGTTTTATTGAATAGTTATGTATTATGCTCTTCTGAATTCTCATCTTGGATCTTAAGAGGATTAGAAATATACTTTCAATGCACTTGATGGAAATTTCAACTCATCAATTACAATATTCTTGTTTCAAGGCTTTGCATAGGCACAAACTCTCCAGACTAATTAGCTAGCCTAACCCAAAAAAAGAAAAAAAAAATCTTAATTGGGGATGCTTGTTGACTTCATGTACTTTGTCTGGAGATTTGTCATTGTGCACTCAAAGAAGACGAGGAGGTGGAGGAATGGTGGTAAAATTTGAGAAGAATTCTATGGTTCCATCATTCATAGCCTATCGATTGGCCCTTGTTAAAATTGAGATTGCTACAGGCTTTATGAATTCTTTTATACAGAGGCTATATTGATTTATCGTGCCTCAGATTGCCTTGATTGTGTTTTCATTTTGGAATATAAATTAAGGAAATAACAGTTGTATTGATTTGGGACTTCTAAATTGTAATTGGAGTCAAGTGATTGTCTTGTATAGCTAGATCCATTTAGGTAAACTTGGGAATATTGTTTGAGGTTTGTGTTCTATGTTTCATTATGACCCCTTGAATGCATTTGAGACGCCGATGCATACACTTCAAAGGATAACTGTGTCATTTATTGTGTAAACCTCATCCTTTAGTGGGTAAGGGATCCGATCCAAACATTTATTTTATTTTTTAATTTTCTTTCCCTCTTAATGATTGCAATTTTTAGGTATTTTTAGAATTTAATGAATGAAAATTTGTGTAGTTTATATTTAGCCTTGCTAAAAGGACTTGGGAGTATTTGGAGGCTTTTATTCATGTTTATAGAATTTTCTTTATTCTTTTAGTATTTTAGTTTTGAATGCATGAGATTTTTTTTTTTTAATTTTTCCCGAGGTATATTTATAATGTGGCATGTAGTGGGGTCTGCACCTAAAATGACATTTTAATCTAGTGTGCATGACATGGTATGCCCAACTTGTTTGGAGGGGTCTCATAATTTTATTTGATGATTATATGGTTGAATAAGCATCCAATGCTTTGCTAGTACCAGGCTTGACCAATTACTTTATTTTACAATGTGATCGCTTTAGTTGTCTATTTGTTGGTTGTATAGTTTGTCCATCCAATTGTAAATTTGTCGTCCCTTATGTGTAACTATGAGACTAGAAGTAATTATTTGTGCTCCCGCATAATTGCATGCATGTCAGGCTAGCTTTTAGTTAGGGTATGCATAGTTAGGTGTTATTATCTTGTAATTCCGCATACCTTGCTTTTGACATTTCCAATAATCATCTATTTATCAAAGAAATTGGATTTATAGCTTTCTTTTGGGATGCATAGTTACGTATTAGGTCAAAACTAATGGTTGAACCAGGAAACTGTTAAACTGATATGTTTTATATTGAACCAAGTGGTTGTAATATTGATCAATTTATATCTTTTTAATTTTGATCACATGGCTTGAAATAAAAGTAAAAAATAAAAAATAAGGAAAATAATCAAAATAATGTCCTAAAATCTCAATTTAAAATTATTTTTAAAATATTCAATCATGAATTTTTATTTATTTAGATTATTAAATATGTAAAAATATCATTATTCCTAATTTAAATCTTTAAATAATTTCATTATTGCATCATCCGGTTTATCTCGTAATTCAACCCCAGTTGAACTTTTGAATTTTGTATCTATCATTCTTTCCATTCAATATGTGGTTCAATTTTTAGAACTTGGTTTAAACTTATGTTAATACATTTTATTTTTGTTTTTTGTTGTAATGACTTTGGGACAAATTTCTAGTAGTTCGACAAATTAATGGAGTGGATTCAGTGTTAACCCAGTGGGTAAGGTTATGTTTGGCTATGGTTGACCAATATGCTAAGAAAGATTGAAGGTGAGCATTTCCCAAAGTAGCAGATAGTGATGCCTACCCAAGAAAGCATGGTTGGTGTCACAACTTGGCTGAAGAGCTTTATATAAATTGGACCGGAATAAATGATTGTTATGGAAAGAAGGTCTGAGCTGCATACCAATCTACCAGTACTAGAAATTTCAACAAAATAATGATAGATTGGTTGCAACATGAACAATCTTACGAATATATATATATTTTTCATTAAAAAGGAAATCGATATTTGACAGAGGCCCAAATATCGATTTCTCATGCGTATCAAGGCCTCATGATGATGCCCTATGATGAGAGTTCGCGCCATGTGCCTAACTATTCGAGAACCCCGCGCCACGGGGGATCGAACCCATGACCTGAGGGGACATACAGTGAACCCCGCCAACCAACAAGCCACGGCTTGCGGCACAAATGGAGGAGTGCAACACAAGTACTCTACTTTCGCCCAAGCACGCTTAACCGCGGAGTTCTAATGGGATCCGGTGCACTGGTGCGGGTATGGTTGCGAGGATATATGATAGATATGGAGGCATGTTCACCATCTGTGTATCGGGTGTAGGTGAGTTGGTGGCGGCTCTGCGTAAGTTCTCTCTCGACCCGGGTTCGAATCCTCGACCATACTAGATTCAAATTTGCACATGGGATTGGTTGGGGGGTCCGCCCTTCGGCCAATTCTTTATATATATATATATATATACACATATGATTGAGGAAATTGATTGGAAAAAACCTATAGCTTATAGTGAAATATTACTAGTGTGAAATCATAGCATGAAATATTATTTAGATGTCATAATTGTAAGAACTTAGCATGATATTTGGCATAAAATTTGACCTGACAATGGACTCATGGTCGTGATAATATCATGTTTTTAGTATTATATTTAAAGATATTGCAAGTATAGACTGTAGAATGATTATAATAGTTCGCATATAATTGACATCATAACCATGGAACATGGAATGATCATAGCATTTTACATAACATTGATATCATATGCATAGGCTGTAGCTTAATATTAGCATTTGACTATCATTACCATAAACCATAGCATGACATGAAATAGCTCTAGTATGGCAAGGTTGCTATCAATACATTCTATCTTGAGAACCCTAGTAATATCAGCATGTTGTAAACTTTACTAGTCGCTTTCCAATGTATCTCCCATCACCACAAGTGAGGAATGGTTCATACATATGTTATTCTTAGTGATGAGTTGATTTAATTTTTTGCTGTAGCTTATACATCCCTACTAGGCATAATGGGGTGTAACTCTTATATCTTCTATTCTTAGTGGCAGAAATGAGATGATCATTTGCACAATATCATTGTCAACATGCACATGAAAATATTCACGTATGTAAAGTTTTTCTTGCACACCCATTTCCGTTCAATAGTTCTAACAGTAGGAGCAATTGACATGGGATTAGATTTCACAATCATAACATGAACATAACATTTGGAATCATAATCATAATAGTTGCAAAGCATATGAAATCATGATTATAATACTAACACATTTGAAATCGTACACATGACTTGTAAAGTTAATTTAATTTCATTTTTATAGTAGTGTTTTGATGTTGTATTCATTGAAATGAACTATAAAATGATCATGACATTTTTTAAAACAAGTGAAATCTATGTGCGATGAGTCTAGAGAAACATTACTTTTAGGAATGAGATTACTGACATGTTCACTTGGATTCTGAGTTAAAGCCTTCTAATCTCCAATTGTAAAGCTTTTGAGTATTGGTTTGTCACTTCTTTAACAAGCTTCATCAATTTCCTCTTGATTAATTCCTATCAGCCAAACAGAAAGTTAAGCGTACAACTCCAGTACTAACAGATCATCTTAGTTCTTTGTGACTTTGACACTTTTTCTCATCACCAAATTATTCTCAAATTGAGCTTACGTAATTCACTTTAAACAAATTTACATATATAGTTTAGTTTATGAGCACATAAAAAATGCGTCAACACAAATATTGATGAGATTCAATGAACCAGGAGTAAAAAAAAGCATAGCTAAGGAGGGTCCACTAGCGGAAGACCAGAGGTCCCATTTGACCAAATGCAACCCCCTAAGCCCAGGTTGGAGGCCGACCGGAACAAGGACTACGGCTAATCAAGCCGAGCACAGACATCGATCTACCTCTAACCACAACCTGACTCAAGGGAAGAGCTCAATATCCCAAGCCACCTCACGGATGCCAAGAGTTGGCAATAACCTAACCAACATCTGAAAAGGTAGCATCCTCTGCTATCATAGTCTCATTTTGCCGACTGGAGCTCATCACCCAGGGATCAATAGTCGACAACCAGACTCGAATAGCCGACCGATAAAACTAAGCCTATGGAGCCGAGTCTTGTCGACTCGAAGACCATCAAGGGCCAACTGGCAACCCCGGTTCAACACAGTCGGACGAACAGGTCTTGCCGAACCAAGGCCCACTTATTTCAACTGACCAAGCCCGAGACAAAAGAGCGGCGGAGCGATATGCTCATATATATATATATATATATATAATACCTAAAATATCTTGTAACCACTAAAATAGGGACAAACATGTAATTTCATATGTTGTACCATCTTCTCTATAAATAGGGGAATCATTTAATGAGAAAGGGCTAATCAACAATTCAGATTACTGTTCACTACTGTGCATCGCCCTATTCCTTCGGTGTGATTCATGGGTAGATCAAGATTCATTAAAATGTTATAATTATAGAGCATGATAATTATATATCTTTATTTAGCTCCTAATTTATGCTATTTCGAAGTTATAGCTTGTGTACCATTTAACCTCCAAGTAGTTTAAGCTACATTTTCTTGATTAAAATATAACATAAGCTTAGGGTTATTCATGGCATAATATGAATTTTTTTTTTTCTATTTCATAGTTGAACACAAAATTTAAAGTATCATTTAATCAGGAATCCATACCATGAACTACTTATGCATGCAATAAATAAGCCTGAATTCATATGATTCTTGTCACTCTCAATAGCGCCCTTTTTATTTTAAATTCAAATGAAATCATTTACCCCTTATTTCATTATATTGAATGTCAAATAAGTGTTAAGAGGTGGCACTGTGTGTGGAAGAGCCCATCCCCAAGGGATACAGAGGGAGCCCATCCCCAATCTCAATCATATACGATAGAGATGGAGGGAGGGCCAGACAAGGATTCTCCATGAGGGTATTTTTGATATTTTACATTAAATTAATGACACAATCAAAAGAAGGTCTTTCGCTAAACATTTTGTATTTATGTGGGATAAAAGTGTAGGAAGGTAGAAAATATTTTATATCAGACTTTCCTATAGTCTTTTTATCAATTAAAAGTGCAAGTTTACCAAAGGAGCCATATAAAGGAGTTGAACTTGTTGGGAACAGAGTGTAGGTGGGGTTTGGATATTATATGATAAGGGTAGTTCTATTATTTCACTGTCAACCAATGGTTTTATCAACTGAATGACTGAATTATCAGGTTGGGTACCCGGTGGCGGTGCCAGAAATTTTTTAAAGAGGGGGAACAAACTAATAAAATAAAGATTTATTTATAACTACATCTAAGATAATATCAAATAAAATAATTAATTGCAAATATAAGACTTAATGAGTTATTTCTATAAAAATTGACTTGCTTTCGAGTTTGAGCCGAGTTTTAGAGATTCGTGATTGGAAGCATGGGGGGTGCACATGCATGTTGGGACTGCAAGCGAATGCGCACGTGCTCTATGGATGCAAGGGACTAGCTGAAGCATCTAAATTTAAATATCATATTTATATCTATTAAAAATGCTCTCTTGAATATGCATAAATATAATCTATTAATAAATATTTGAAACAACATTCAAGATAATTCTTTCAAATATATTGCCAATTCATAGGAATAAATGTAAAATTATATAGGAATTGGGTGGTATGTATGAATGGCCAAATTTAAAAATGCATCTGAATTTGTGGTTTAGAAAGTATAGTGTTATCGATATGTATATAGGCATATTACAAAAATTAAGATAAAATTTAATTGAAAATTTGATTTTTAACTAACACAAAATTTAGTTGGCTGGAAATCAAAACAATTCAAGCCTTGAATTAATTTAAAGCCAAACTATATAGCTCTAGTCAATTTCAAATTAGAAATGAACGAATCAAAATAGATCATCCAATCAGTTTTGATGGTGCATATAAAAGTCTTTATAGCTAGAATTTCAGAAATATTAACAACAACAACAACAACAATAATAATAATAATAATAATAATGGTTATGGATTAAAATTTATGTGTTTGATAAATTTGCTTTAAATTGCCATCATAATTGAATCCATTGATATAAACTCGGCGACATTATTACAAATATATTTTTTAGAATATAATTAACTAGTTTTACTAATATAAAATAGATTAAACAATAATTTTTTATTTATTATTAAATAGAAGCTAAATAAAAGAAAATTTGTATATTGAAAAATCAAAAGCAACTTTTATAGCATTTTGATTTAAATAGTAACTGTGCATAGCTTTAAGAATTGAAAGAATAAACATCACATCATAAAATATATGATTTTCCTTCTAAAAATACAAAATTTTGTTTAAAATAAATGCAAGCATTCATCTCCTTGCTCCCGGCTAATATCTACTACTATAAATAAAAAAAATATATAGAAACAATAAAATAAAGGGATCAAAACCCATACAAAAACGTATAAAAAACTAAGTCGCTATATAGAAACAATAAAATAAAGGGATCAAAACCCATACAAAAACGTATAAAAAACTAAGACAAATCAATCAATCAAGAGGGTTTTTGGCCTCAAAACACTTGTAGCAAGAAGAAATATTTCAGTCACCAAAGATAATTCCAAAAAATAAGCTGGTTCGGGAGAAGTTAGGCGGGTGGGAATTGAATAACCAGGCAGGCGGGACTCAAGGTTATCTCGAACCACGAAATTTGTGCTCTAGGTTGGAGATTTCACAAAATCTGAGGGTACCTATTCTAAGGATTTAAAAAAGTGGATGTTCAGCACTCATTGCCCCTTGACGTCGTGGTTCAAAATGAAATTTACACTGATATCATATATCATTTTATGTTTTAAAATAAATAAACTTGTCTACTCCAAACAATTTTTACATGTCATTTAACTCTTTCTCATCCTTTCTACAGATTGCTCTTTTCTATATTGCTGTACTTGCTGGCCTTCTACAGCGCTTCCCCATCAGTTTCCCCCAGGTATTACGTGATCATTCATATTAAATTCAATTGCTACTCATTGATTCAAATGTTAGAAATGCTTGTAACTTCACCATAAATTTGAACTTCCAACAGTCACCTGGCCAGTTGAGAACTCGGAAGACTTCACGTTCTGGTGGAACAAAAGTAGCCGAGCATGCTAGTATAATAACCTTCGCTGATGTGGCCGGTGTTGATGAGGCCAAAGAAGAGCTTGAAGAAATTGTTGTAATTTATGCAGTTTAAGAATTAACTTTTTTATTTTTATTTTTTGTCAATTTGAGGTCATTATTTATGCATAACCAATGTAGGAATTCCTTAGGAACCCGGACAGATACATAAGACTTGGAGCACGTCCTCCAAGAGGGGTTCTACTGGTGAGATCAGCCTCAGTGTCTTTATTGTGCAATTTCCATAAACTTGTTTTTTTCAAATAATTTTTTATTTTGCAGGTGGGTCTTCCTGGGACTGGCAAGACACTCCTAGCAAAAGCAGTGGCAGGGGAGGCAGAAGTGCCTTTTATTAGTTGTTCTGCTAGCGAATTTGTCGAGCTCTATGTTGGAATGGGTGCATCTCGAGTGCGAGATCTTTTTGCAAGGGCAAAGAAAGAAGCGCCGTCCATCATTTTCATTGATGAGGTGTGGTTAATGCTTCCATAAGCCATAAGTATTTAAGCGACCTCATTATTCTCAATTTTCTTATTCTGACAACTTGTGTGTTTTACCCTGCAGATAGATGCTGTTGCGAAAAGCCGTGATGGTCGATTTCGTATTGTCAGTAATGATGAGCGCGAACAAACACTTAACCAACTGCTCACAGTAAGGATAATGCCTTGAAATTTTTCATGAACTAGCTCTTAGCAACAATATTCTACTGTCATGTACTTTGATGTTCATTTACCAGGAGATGGATGGATTCGAAAGCAGCTCTGCAGTTATTGTGCTTGGTGCAACTAATCGTTCAGATGTCTTAGATCCTGCACTTCGTCGTCCTGGAAGATTTGATCGGGTTGTGATGGTAGGAATTCTGGCTTTTGTTTGAGTCTGTTAGGTGAAGATATTTATCAGACTCTTATCATATAAAAAAAATGTTGTGCGTTGTTGTGGATTTTAGGTAGAGACTCCTGATAGGGTTGGCAGGGAAGCCATTCTAAAAGTTCACATTAATAAAAAAGAACTCCCTTTAGGGGAGGATGTAAATCTTAGTGAAATATCATCAATGACTACTGGTTTTACTGGGTAAGGGTTTTTTTCCGTTTCATATTGCTCTAAAAGGTTCCTTTTCCTTTTATTCTTGACTGGTTTAATTTGATTGGAGTTGTGCAGAGCAGACCTAGCAAACCTGGTTAATGAAGCTGCTCTATTAGCTGGAAGATTAAATAAAGTTGTTGTGGAAAAGATTGATTTCATTCGGGCTGTTGAACGTTCTATTGCTGTGAGATATATTCTTCTTTATTTTTACATTGTACACTCACTATCATCTTTACAAATGAGCACTCGTTCATATGGTCACCAGACTTGTCAATTTCTGTTTGGTGTCACTTGCCATAAATCTTGTCTGTTGAGCACATCGTTTATCCTTTGGACCCCTACTATTTTAGTAGGGCATACAATGAAAAGATCTAGGAAGAATTGGGATTAAGAGAGTATTAAACGTCGACCATTAGATGATCCGATTAGGAGAGTAGATGTTTTAAATTCGACTTGTGTTAAGAAAGGCAGAGGTAGACCTAGGAAGACTTGGGCTTATTGTATTAAAAATGATCTTAATTTACTAGAACTAAATGAAAATATGACACTAAATAGGACGCAATGGAGAAAAAGGATTCATGTAGCCGACCCCACGTAGTGGGATTAAGGCTTTGTTGTTGTTGTTGTTGTATACAATGAAAAGATCTGTTCGGCGTCACTTTTTGTAAATGATGGCCGTAGTATTTCAATCTTTTTTTTTTTCTTTGGTCACTACAATTACTAGGCCATATTACCAACAGAGTTTTTTTATATGAAAACTTCTCTTCTATAAATATTGATGGATTTTGATTTTCCATTGATGATTAATATAGGATGTCCTTCAAAAACAAAAATATTGCACCCAACTATTACGTAAAAGCCCTACTGGTGTTCCTCAAATTGATTGTATGGTTGTCGTAATGACTAGCAATGCTTAAATTTTTATTTTTTTCCTTGCTGTGTTCCATGGTATTTTATCTGCTCTATCATGTAGACTTTATCTGCTCTAATTTTTCCTTTCATGAAATTTTACGTAATGATAGAATTCCCCATATTATCTATCTCAAATTTCTTTCACTTGTGCTGAAACCTTATCTAATGGAAAAAAAAGGACTTTTAACCAACCCAAGGTGCTTACACTGTGATTCTTTATGAAGTTCTGCAGCTATTGTTTGCTATTAAGTTAGAAGTTTGCTTGTTAAGGCTAACAGTCCGAGTGTTATTTAAATTTTTCTGTAAGTTTACATCATCATCAACAACAACAACAACGACAAAAACAAAGCTTTCATCCCACTACGTGGGGTTGGCTACATGAATCATTTTTCTCCATTGCATCCTATTTAGTGTCATATTTTCATTTAGTTCTAATAAATTATAAATTAAGATCATAATTAAGATCATTTTTTTATACAATAAGCCCAATTCTTCCTAGGTCTACCTCTGCCTTTTTAAACATAAGTCGAATATAAAACATCTACTCTTCTAATCAGATCATGAGATGATCAACGTTTAATGTGACCAAACCTCCTAAGATGACTCTCTCTAATATTTGTCTGTCGCTGGAGCTATGCCAACCCTATCAAGGATAAATTCATTTCTCATTTCATCTCTAAGTGTAAAGCCACCCATCCACCTTTTTCATTATCATCTCGACAACACTTAACTTAGTATTTTGCTTTTCTTTTAAAGGCCAACATTTAGCACCATAGTGCATTGTAGGTCTCACCACCATCTTATAAAATTTTCCTTTCAATTTAGGCAGAACATTTCTATCAACACAAAAGGCCCGAAGCATTTTCCTCCACTTCAACCAACTAACTTGAATTCTACTATTAACATCCCCATCTATATCACCATCACTTTGAACAACAGACCCGAGATATCTAAATTGTTCACACCTTTTAATAATTTGATCACTCGAAGTTACACTGCTGTCACTAGAGCTACTACTACTACTACTAAAATTACATTCCATGTATTCAGTTTTAGTTCTACTCAAATGAAGGCCTTTAAACTCCAATGCAAACATCCATAATTCAAGTTTTTTCTGGGCTCTTTCTCTGGTCGTATCCACGAGAAAGATATCATCAGTAAAAAGCATACACCAAGGTACATCCTCTTGTAAATGTCCAGTAAGACCTTCCATAACTAAAGCAAAAATATATGGGCTTAAAGTTGATCCCTGATGTAATCCAACATAAATGGGAAAATATTTGGTCAATCCTGTTCGAACACACATAACAACTCTAGTATACATATCTTTAATGACTTGAATATAAGTCATATGAACACTTTTCTTCTCAAGAACTCTCCAAAGGATATCTCTTAGAATCTTATCGCAAGCTTATTCTAAATCAATACAATAAAAATTAAATGTAGATCTTATTATCTTTGAACTTCTCCATCAAACCTCACAATAAATGTATAGCTTCCATAGTAGACCCGCCCGACATAAATCCAAATTGATTATGAGAAATCTTTGTAATACGTCTTAACCTATGTTCAATTATCCTCTTATGACACATCAACTTAATTCCTCTATAATTTGCACACTCTTGTGCATCCCCTTTATTCTTAAAAATGGGGACCAAAATACTCTTCCTCCATTCTTCAGATATCTTTTTAGTTTTTAAAATAATATTAAAGAGTTTAGTAAGCCAGGAAACTATCAAATCTCCTAAATATTTCCAGACTTCAATTGGGATATCATTAGGTCTTACAGACTTTTCACCCTTGGCTTTCTTTAAAGCCTCCTCAACTTCTTTTTTTACCAATGAGGTGGTAAAAATAAAACATTTTATTATTATTAATGATATTAAAATCACCAAGGTCGATCGTATTTTCAAAAACTTCATTAAAATTTATCAAAATAACTCAACCACCTATGTTGAATATTTTTTTCTAAGAAAAACACTTTTTGATTTTCATCTTTAATACACTTTACTTGAGTTAAATCTTTACTTTCTTTTCTTTTTGTTTGACTAGTTTATACATATATTTTTCGTCCTTTTTATTGTCTAATATATTATAAAGATCACTAAAAGCAGAATTTTTAACGTTACATTATTACATATTGTTCATTTAGACTCCCTGCGGACTGTTTGATATTTTTTTTAGTTCTCTAAGCTTTTACATTTAAACCAATTTTTATAACATAACTTCTTATATTTTATCTTTTCTTGTACATTATCTTTTCATCTTTTCTTGTACATTATTATTCTACCACCAACTATTTTTATTTATAGAAACATTTTTTTTTGATTCTTCAAGTACATCTTTTGCTACTTATTTAATAGTGTTTGCTACTTTATCCCATATAACATTTGATTCTTCGTAAATATCCCAATTTTGAAATCTTGAATTTTACTAAAAAAAAATAATTTTATTAGTGCTTTTTAGATTCTTCCATCTAATTATACGATGATTAGTCCTAGTATTCGTTATTTTACAATTCTTTATCTTAAAATCTAGAACTAATAATTGATGTTGGGTACTTAAATCTTCACTTGAAATTACCTTACAATCTTTACAATATCGACGATTTCTTCTTCTCATAAGAAAATAATCAATTTGTAAGTATACTATTTTTTCTGTAAGTTTAGTATTTTAAAAAAAAAGAAATATTTAATGGTATTTGTCTTGCAATAATGTTAACCATTTTTATTTCATTGCCATTTATAAAAACGAGATTAAGGGTTCGTTATCAATGTGTTGTTGGCGTTAGAGTTGAACTTCTGGTTATATTTCTATTCAGCAGTTCAAACTCTCTGCATGGTCTTTTCTTCTCCTCTTTGCTTCCCTTAGGATGTCTTCTTTTTTTATATGTTATTAAATCTAACCTTAAAGAATGGATCTTTCCAGGGTATAGAGAAGAAGCATGCAAAATTGCAAGGGAGCGAAAGGGCTGTTGTTGCACGACATGAAGCAGGTCATGCGGTTGTTGGAACTGCTGTTGCTAATTTGCTTCCTGGACAGCCACGTGTTGAGGTGAATTGAAATAACGCCTTCTTTTATACAAATAATTTGGAAGTTTTTTTAATGTAAAAGTACATCAGGTAAATTAATATTATATGGTTTCTGTAATCAGAAACTGAGCATATTGCCTCGGTCAGGAGGTGCATTGGGTTTCACATATATCCCACCTACAACAGAGGATAGGTATCTTCTCTTTATTGATGAATTGCGTGGCCGTCTGGTCACGCTTCTCGGTGGACGAGCAGCCGAAGAATTTATTTATTCTGGTCGCATATCAACTGGTGCTCTTGATGATATAAAGAGAGCAACTGATATTGCTTACAAAGCTGTAGCAGAATATGGTCTCAATCAGAGTATAGGTCCCATTTCACTTGCAACTTTATCTAGTGGGGGGCTTGATGATTCTGGTGGTGCAGCTGGTTGGGCAAGAGATCAGGTTCCGTCTCTATTAACTCTTCATATCTCATTACTGAGCTAATAGAAAATAAGGCTTACCTAAGTACTGAATATTTAGGGCCATCTGGTTGATCTTGTGCAAAGAGAGGTAAAGGCACTTCTTCAATCTGCTCTTGAAGTTGCTCTCTCAGTGGTACATGCCAATCCTACTGTGTTGGAGGGACTAGGAGCTCATCTAGAAGGTAGACTTGACTCGATTTTCTTTTGGTTTTTAGCGTACTTTTCTATCTAAGTAGATGCTTGTTATGGTTATACTTGAATATCTTATGGACTTCCCTGCTTGATCCTGCTATAATCTGTCATAAGTCTCCTGAAACAGGTGACTAGGCCAATGTTTGGTCACTCGGTCATTTCATTTTCTTAAGTGTTGTTTGGGATCTCTTTTGTCTTTTTGTTTTTCATTTTTATTTTTTTAGTTTTGATTTAAATTAAAACATATTTGATAAAGATAGTTGTTTTAAAAAAATCTCAAAACATCTTTTAGGCATTTTGGATGTTATTAAAAATAGGTTGATTTGCTTTTTTTTTTTTTTTTTAAGTTATGTTAGCCAAACATGTTTTCATAAACAAAAAAAATAAAAAAAAATAAAAGCATAAGACAAAAGTGATGCCAAATGGGTCCTTAATAGTTATGTTTTCTGAAATTACATCAGGTTATGATTATTTTAGCAATTTTTTGGAACTTGGTAATGTCTACGTTATCAGACCCAACTCTTATTACACTTTTTAAAATAAAGTTGTAGATCCCTAGCTAATGGCACTTCATAGGAAAGTTACCTCACATTACCAACTGTTAGAATTCGATAAATTTGGTTTCTATTGCACCATTGTTGAACACGTCCTCTTGAATCTTGGCATCTACTTATACAATCTTATTAAACATGCTAACCTATGTCAAACTAAATAGGAAGATTTACATAATACCACTCAATTTTTATATATTTACATATCTTACACCTAAATTTGAAAAGATGTGTTTCATCTTTTAAAAGTTAAAATAGTAATTTTTGTGATATGAAATTCTTGAGTGGTATAAATGTAAAAAACAAAATTTAGGTGTTAGATATGTAATATGTGATATGTATGTAAATGCCTCAACTAAATACGTCATACTATTATTTTTGGGGCTCTTATAATTATGAATTAATTCAAAACTATTTAAGGTCCTTATTTTGACAAATATTATATGTTTGAAGTTTCATTGAGTAGGCTTAGGACTACAGAGTTCTGGACCATTAGCAGTATGCCTTAGCGCCAACCTTCCAAGCTCAGATACCCTTAAGCACGTGCCTGATATGTGAGCCCATTACTCATAAGCTTCTAGGAAAGAAAATCATTGAAACCTTAATGAAATTAATATAATTTGTAAAAAATTTTCTAAGATACCTGTACTATGAATTCACTAAAGTAGAATCATATTACATGTATATCATTAAATGGTCGTATAAAAAGTATTATATAGTGGTGTTATAACAAATGTTGCAAAATGAAGTTTGAAATAGTATTGTACATTTAATTTTATGCATGCTAATGTAAGAATCGAAAGTTGTTTGAACACATAAAACTGCATAACTTGATCAAATTTTACATGGATGCAATGGACGAGTGAAGTTCCTGCGACTGCTTGATATGTTGATGTGCATTAAAAATATAATTCAGAATGAAAATATGTATGAAGCAAAGTGCAGTAGTGAAATAAAAATCATGAATGCTATAATTTACAATACATTTGGACTGTAGGAGATAATGGGTCATTTGCCTGGATGGTTTGACATTCCAGTAGAACTTCATAGGTTGTGGAGGCACCAACTAAATCTATTTCTAACTTCTCAGCTTTACTACAATTTTACTTCTCATCAAAGCTGCAAAACGCAACTAAAGTGAGCATCCATAAAAATATACTACCTAATATAATATACTACAAGAGTTTTCATGGTCGTGCGTATAGTAGGTACTAAATGAAAGAATATATATTAAATGGACTTGATTTAGTTGGTATGTTAAAATAAAGATCATAGAATAACAAATTTGTTTTGTACCATCTGTATCATTCACCGCTCACCACTCTGTTATGTTAAAATTATAATGTCATGTTTAAGGAAAAATTAATTAATACAAAGAAGTTCAACCATATTTAAGTTTCAATTAATTATATCTAAAGATTTATATTCTTATTTTGGATGGCAACTCGGTTGCAAACAGCCCACTTACATTCTTATAAATGTGGAGTTCTTGATGGATGATCATTCTTTCATTTGGGTTCCCTCTAACTTGTCAATATTTCTATGTAAGACTGATCCTTTTGATTATTATTTTTTGACTTATTTTTGTAAAAAAAAATAATAATTAACCAACTTGATGCAATTGTTGTTGGAGTTGATATATCCATCTTTTTTCAATGATCCAAAAAACTTGCTTTATTTTTTTCATGTCCTCCAATGCACCACTAGTTGCCAATATAACTCGTTATTGGTATATTGTCATTCTCTATCAACCTTAACATCTTCATTTATGGGCTTATAGCCTTCAAAATATGTGTCACACCATTCCAAAGAGTAGTCTTGATCGCTTTGACTTTCTTTTCCTTTTAGTAACACTAAATTTAAACTTGTTTCATTCTTTGAACGTGAACATACACCTCTTTTTTTGTCTTATTGTAAGATTGAGAAAGGAAGTATGTAGAAAGAATTGTTCGAAACCTAATATGTAAATTCATAATATGGAATTAAATAGGGCATTATAACATTTACAAATAAAATCGTGGACTTCTTCAATATTATCTTTTTACCTATAGGACCCTAAATAAAGTCCAATTCTTAACACTCCCCCTCAAGACGAGCAAAAGAAATTCATTATGCCCATCTTGGCAAATAACCTTGACAAATCTGAGGAACCGAGTCCTTTGGTGAGGCACTCAACCACTTGCTCTCCAGTGACTACATGACTTAGTTTCAGTAGCTCGTTAGTCCTTTTCCTTGATGATGAAGAATCTATCAATCTCCAGATGTTTGGTTCTATCGTGTTGCATTGGGTTGTTGGGAATGTTGATTGCCGACTTGTTGTCACAACGCAACTTCATTTGAGTTCTTTAGTCCGCCTTGAACTCGATCAACAAGGCTCTTAGCCACATCATCTCGACAACTCTGAAGGTCATGCTCTTGTACTTTGCCTCTTTTGTTGATCTCACTGCTATAAATTGTTTCTTGCTCTTCCAGGTGGCCAAGTTGCCCCCTACAAACATGCAGCATCCCGATTTAGATCTTCTGTCACCTGCACAACTTCCCCAGTCAGCGTCACAAAAGCCCTCAATGTATACATGTTAATTCTTCTTGAAGATCAACCCCTTCCCGAGTGCTCTCGTCAGATACATTAGAATCTGATACATTGTATCCATATGTACTTTCTTTGGATCATGCGTATAGCGGTTCACCACACTCACTGCAAAAGAGATGTGTGACACATGTAGATCAGACGACCCACTAATCTCTGGTACCTCTTATGATCAACCGGTTCCCATGCCTCTGCACTCAGCTTTGTCTTTTGCTCAATTGGAGAGACTACAGATTTGCACCCCAACATGCATGTTTATGTGATGAGATTTAGTACATACTTTCTCTGAGACAAAATCTTCCCCTTAGGTCCATGGGTCATTTCAATCCCAATGAAGTTTATGAGCTGTTCAAGATCATTCACCTCAAATTCATTTTCTCAATCTTATCTTAATTTGGGCATTCTCTATCCCATCATCACCAGTGACGTTGATGTCATCAACATATACAACAAGTATAATGGTGGGACCTCAATGTTATCGAAAGAATACCGTATGGTTGTTGACCTCATTTTAGTGAGGTCTTAGTCTTCTACTCTTAGAACCTAGGATCTAGCTTTAGGAGTTCTTATTGACAATCCTAGCGGACTAGCAATGGAGCCCACCTCCCGTAGAACTTCAAGCCACTTCTTGACTCATTTTTGTGAAGAACTCGCATGAGTGGTTCCGAGCACTCAACTTCTAGTTGTAAGGGCTAAGGACCAACATGTAGAGGGCCCGAAATTGAGTTCCTATAGGATCAACAGCCTTAGGTGAACCCTTTGTGACTCGATTACTCGCGAACGCC